CACAAAAAAGGTGCTTGTAAGTTGTCTGGCCAGTGTGGCACGAGCTAGACCATGTGCGTTGTCACCCAATGTAGATGAGTTTAGGAGTCCTGTTGGACACGGACACGAAAGCTTGTGATACGAGTATACAGACGTCGCTAAGACGAAAACGTAAATGCACAAGCACAAGGGGGAACGGGCTCAACAGTTTAGGAAGTGATCTTGTGTGAACTCGACACAGCCAAAAGGTAATCAATAACTATTCGTGCTTGTTATATACCAGTGGGTGAGCGACCAAGGAATAACAGGATACAGTAGTCAGGTCGAATACGACATGCCAAATGGCGTGTGTACCCTGCCATATGCCTTCAACTGAGAAAGTCCGACAAAGCTATGAAGGTCAGCACCGATGCAGAATCTCATCGAACGTTAGGCTATTGATTAGGAGATTGCTTGCCGCTACAGAACAACAATAGCTTGTGAACAATGTGGTTTCCCATCGCAAAAAGCGCAAGGGACAAAAAAGTCCCTCCATTCATGCGGACATATTCATCTGCTAGACGGACACAGTGCCACTATCAGACACTTTTGCTGAAGTTACAAAGTACATTTTTCGTTGAAAGATGGGTATCGCCAGCCACTGCAGGCGTCGTTTGAATGAATGCTGTCCTAACCCCCTTAGAAAGGTCCGACCCAACTTTCTTCCACACGAGGGTTCGCCACCAGTGTACAGTTTTTCAGTTAACACCCAGCCAAGGATGCGTATAAGATGCTGAACAAATCTTGCTTCTTTTTGCATACGTCCTGTGGAGTGCCCATTGTCCTAAATCTCCAAGCGGGACCAAGCCGAAAAAGTGCGACAGCGCACGGTCTTCAGATCATAAACTGCTGCGACTCCTGGGTCATTATGGTCCAGAACACAGAATAGAAGAATTCCACCAATATGGTAGGTTTTGCCATCTGAGTGCCCCATTTGCATGTTCACGTACTTACCCGCATTGACAGGTATCAGCTATTTCTTTGACCGGGTTGACGGGCCGTTTGAGTCTGCCCAAAGTGCATGCACATGATCACTGTCCTTAGTTTCTGACCAGATTTTTTTCCACCATCGGCGTAGAGAACCATTGAGGATTTCATGGTATCAGGGAGCTCATCCACTTACAGAAGAAATAGCAATGGAAACAGGTCCGCGCCTTGAGGCACGTCACTCTCTATCGACTCGCAAACTAACATTTGAAAATTGATGCTTACTCCTCGCCTCTCACAGGCAAGGAGCTCTCTGGTCCACGCAAGCAGGCCGCCAAGAACTTCAAAACTTTCCGGTTTCCTGGGCAACTTGTAATGAGGCCCCTTGTCGTGAGCCTTACTGGAGTTCACGAAAACTACATCCGCACGTATCCTGTAATCCTAAGACTTAACCAAAGGTACTCTGATTGTAAGGCAGTTCATCAAGCAGCAGACATCTGAGAAACCAATGTTGCGAAAAAAGACAATGGGGTGTTGTCCTCTAAGTGAGCTGGAATGACTTTCTGCTGCCCTTATTAGGGCTTTAACCACGGTGTTAGAAAAAATTATCGGTCTATGACTTAAGGGTGCTGCCCGGAACCTCTCTTAAAGGTAATTTGGTTATAGTGTCCTTCCAATCATGGAAGATTCCTTGAATGGGGGGCAGCCTAAATATGGCAGCCAATGGATCGGTTGCATACAGTGCAATCTGTATGAGCAGCCATGGGGGCAACCTATCCTATGTTATTGGTTTTTTGACATCGAGAGCGCGTAATGTCTTGAACACACCACTACAGTTGACGTCCCCAGAGTTTGTTCTGTTGAAAGTCAACGCTTCAACCGTTGAACTATTGTCAGTAGAAGACTCCTGGGAAAAGATCTCAGCAGAATTTTCAGCTATAGCTTCTGCTCTCTACCCACTAATTTCAAATAAGCGGTTAATTTGTGTCTCTTTGACTTGGGTAGGAATATTGCGAAATATCTTATTACTGTGGTTCATAAAAGGAAAAAACTTATTTGGGTGTTGCGGTGCATCCTGGGCAAGACATACTCCAAAGCATGTTCGGGAATGGTGGATGGTGACAAAACATTTATTCTGGGCTTCTGTGTAAGGCTTCTCCTCCTCTGAAGTACCGAGACGTGCTGCAAAACTCCAACGCCTTTTCTTCGGTCTCAGCAGGCTTTGGCTTCCGAGGCCTCTGCTTCTCTAGCCATGTTTGGCCTCCATAAGTGAGGTCTAGCTGATGCATCGACTTCACACAATTGCCTGGCGCTAGGGGCTCATTTGCTTGACTGACTTTAAAATGTCCGTTTTTCTCGTGCTTCACATTACATTACTGGCCAACTCGGAAGTGTGGCCCATGTTTATGGTGTGGCATGGTTGGGGAGTGACGTTTCGCCATCAACATCCGGTTAGTCTACTGAAAACTCCCTGAAGGAAGAGGCAGCTGGGGTAAACTTGGTAAAGCAAAGTTGGCAGATGCAGTACGACAACGTATACGGATGGTGTAGAAGGAAAACGAAACTCTACCCGAGTACATCCATATGGAAACGACGAAGGCCAACCTGAAGGATGAAACCCATTTGATTCGAAGTTAAGACATATGCGTGGCAATTGCCTCTCTAGTTGCAAAGTTTATGTTGTTCCTTGACTTTTTTGGCTACCGATTTCTGCACGCGGGCTTAAGCTTATGTTGTATGGTATGAAGTGACTCCATCAGGATTGATTCAACACCTCTGATCGGACGCAGAGAGCCTTAAGAATTTGTATGGGTATGAAATTTATCTAGGTTGCAGAACGGGTATTTGTCACGCGATTAAAAAAGTTTCTCCAAGCTATCTTTGCACCTCTTGGCTAATTTTCTAGTTGCTAACTGGTGATGCGTGGTGGGTAACCCCTACACGATGTCACCATGGGAACTTGTGGGATGTGGTGGTCAGTCACTAATTATTTTTAATCATAATGTACCCAAGAACGTGAGACCAAGGAGGAGCACAGTAGCGTAGTTAGATGGCAGCAGTATATTTAAAAGGCCATGCTGAAGTACTGATGCGTCCCGTCTAGCTGGCTGGAAGCTCGATTACGATAGCTTGTCAAATGATGTAGATGTTTGAAAATGTGCCCTCAGCTTAGCAAGTCCGATGTTGAATCACATCGAACCCTAGGGTATTGATTTTGGAGAAGTGTGTGCCATTAGGGATCACCACCTCCCTAGTGGGTTCTCGACACCCATTAGACCATATCAGTCAGAGATAAAAACTTATTGGTTTCGCCACCGGTAAAACTCCCCCGATGGGCTTTTTGAGAGGAGTGGCCCCCGGTTGCCAGAACTTAACCCAGGGTGCCGTCAAGGAAGAAGGGAAACGATCGGATCGATTTGTACGCTGATCACGATCCCCAGTGTGCTTGAGCTTCCCTTTCAGTGCTCGTTGCACCTAGAATAGAGACAAAAGTCTTTAACACCACGAAAAGTCTTGGGAAAATGAAGATCATTCATGTGTTACGTTTAAAAAACAAACATTGACTTGGTGCCTGATTCTATAGCTGTTCGAAAAATTTGTGATTGCGTGTGCTGTTGCCTTCATGGCTCTTGCAGTTAAAATATTCTTAAAATGTTATGGATAACAAAACCATTTCTGAGTGCCAACTTACCGATTCTAATAAGGAAGAATCCTCACAGATATGTTTCACCTCCCTTGAACCTAGAAGTCAGGAAAGTTTCTGGGATAGCAACGATGTCAGAGCTTCCCATGTTTAGTACCTTACTAAGATAAGCCCACTTGTTTAGAAGACTAGGTGCATTTGTGCACTTTCGAGTTGGGTGACCCCTGGTATGTTTGCTGGCAACGGCTTGTTTAAAGAACTTCGTAGTTTACTAGGGGCATGCTCAAAGCGATTACGTGATTCTGAATATCTGCTATTTTCCACTTTTTGTAAGATAACAGACCCCATATGGAGCCCTACATTGCCTTAGCTCTGTGAAGTGTTGACAGCTGCTTCCATGACAGTTACCAGCTTTATGGTATTCCGCTCAGTCTTAGTTACCTGGCATTCCACACAGTAAGATGTGGGAGGTTGGCTGAGGTCTGGTTCAGTGACCTTGGCACTGACAGCCTCAGAAAGAATTTGCATCCCCCTGCGCGCACTTGTCCTCAATAATTAAGTCACCCAGCTGGGAGGGGATTGCAGTCTGCATTGCTTCCCATTTGACAGTGGTCATTATGAGAAGGATGAGATCCTCATCACTTATATTCTGCACTGTCTGATTCCCATTGCAGATCTATAAATGGCGCATTCTGGCAAAGTCAGCTTAAAGAATCACATTAGGCTTATCTATCAAATTTGTGGTTCAGGAAAATGACCAGACAAATTCTTCATCACTGCAAATACGCGTTTCCATAATGCGATATCACAGGAAAACCTACAAAAAACACCACACAATGGGTCCTGCAAGTTTTTGAAAGGTAGATGGGAATAGGCAACCATCGTTTTATTGTAGACTAAATATGCATTAGGCAATGGTAACTCTACTAAATAATTACAGCACGGGAACGAAGGTCCATGCTCATTCACTTACAGTTAAGCCATGTAAAATATGGAATTTTTCAAGGTGCCTTTTCGTCACAATTTAAAAAAGGATGCATTCTTAATTAGAATAATGTATTCAAAAAGCTTTCTGCCGGGTGACAGAAAAAGGTGGCGAATATATCAGAAACAAATTGGTGAATGGACACTAACAACTGCTCATCACAGGAGCCTTTCCCACTACAGAAGCAAGCCGAACAATAGATGACCCTCAAGAACTAGACGTTAGAGATCTGAAACAATCAATTCCTTAAACTAAAGCCACTAAGAATGCATGTTGGATAATCATCCTTTCAGAACTAGTGAAACAGGGAAAATTATTAGGACTGTTGTGAACGTTGAAAAAGTTTTAATGCTAGAGATTCATCACCCAAGAATCAACCGTTCACTGTTTTGACAAATTGGACTCCAGATTTGGGTCTTGGTACCCGATCAGCAGAGCGCAATTTGATGTGAGGACGCCACACTTGACTCAAGCGTTTTGTTTAACTCCTGACATAGTTTGAAGTAGGTTGGTTTTGCCACAGGTTGTCAAAAAGTTCACACAAAACATCTACATTATGCTTTATCAGTTACATTTTTCCTGTTTTTCCGCTTACTGTGCGGTTTGGGGTATCGATACTCGTCCATTAAAAGCCGGTTACCCAGTCAACATTTTCGCGAGGCATAATTTGAGGTCATGTTTCAGGTTGCCATGAAAACACCAGGAGAAACGCAGGGTTGTGCAGCACTTCTCTGCGCTTTTAACCCTCATGTTCTAAAGACCTCCCCGTGTTTCCCCAGTCAAACACAAATTCTGAAATAATGCGGGTCAATGTATTGGTTAGGAATACTGAAATGCGACAATTAAGCGGATTTTTTCGGACTACCAGTGTAATTTACGCGCTTTCAGGATAATTTAAACATGTGTGCGTAAATGCATCTTAATTTACGCACAATTTCATCCATATTTCCTCACTACCGCATGACTTCAGCATTGTCCGCATTGTTTCAGCAGTGCAGGGAGATTTTTGGGACACAATTCCTACCCTATGCGCATCGACCGCAATATTAACACTATTCACTTCACTATTTACGCATTCACCTGCATTACTTACGCAATATGGTGTGAATGGATCGTCCCGATTTTCCTCGCGAAAGTGTTGACCGGGTTACTTTCAAGCACTAACGGCGATAGTGTCTTAGGCCCTCGTGCAGTAAGTGTGGTTCGAACCATAATCATAAGTTTGTACATTGATCTGTGCTGGGTTTAGTCTTACTTACTGGTTACTATAAGGAGCAGAAGTATTTCAAACAAATTGGCTAGAAATCTTTGTAATGGCACCAAGCAGTCGAAGTTGTGAAAGTCAGGGTTGGCGTTGTCGAGGTTGCCAGTACTCAACAGTTATGTGGTCTGTCCGAATGGAGTCTCGCAATACTTCCTCACTGTGTCGTCCTGCCTCAGATCTACACAAGAAAATGCGAAGTATGTCACACTACAACTCAAAAATCTGCCACATGAGAGAAAAGTGACCAAACTTAGAAGTTCATTTGGTTAGGAATTAAACCTATCAAAATCAATAAATGAAATTCGACTGTTAAGTCACTGAGTCTGCATCACAAATTGATTTTAAGTCTTATCATCACGTCTCCAACTACCGCTTTTGTTTGTCAAAGCTTCTAATCTGCAAGTTTTTGTGCCTTTACAATTCTCAAACTAACAGCTAAGGATTTCATGGACTGATGTAGAACGCATGAGTTTGCGCTGAAAAGGCTGCGGCCAGTTTGTGTGCTGCTTTACGAACTTGTTTTGGAGTTGAGTGCTTTGAAATCAAACTGATATCCCATACAATAAACCTGATATCTCTTTTGAATTCTCAAGTTCCCAAATCCTACTTGGCGTTTATGCAAATAATTCAGAGGTAGTAGGTGATCACGTAAAGGCTGATTTGCGTCTATAGTACAATTAAGGTGGTTCATTTTCATGTAGGCATATGGACGATGATTTTTCACTTAAGTACTTTTACTTTTCGCAGAAGGCAGTCGAAAACGCAGATAAATTCCTGAACATCAAAGCTGAACGACTGTCTCTTATTGCTGCCTTAAAGGTTGTATGATAATCACTCAGGGACTACAAAACCCTATATTTCTGTCGAGATACCCGGATTAATGCGTGGTATCAGTGCACGAAGCCTCTGACTGTTGGTCGAGATGTTTTGGGATCAGTGGTTGTGTTATTTTCTGTCCGTCTGGGTGTAGACATTAGTGTGCAAACACATATTCCAGAACAAGTAATCTTTTACTCGCTCCCCAGCGATAACTAATGACCAAATGGTACACATCTTTGTACCGTTGAGTTAAGATTGGTAGGTGCTACATCAGACAATGTCTGTATGTCTGTAATCCGTGCCGGTCAAAAATAGGTTGTTTGAACACAGTTGTAACGTGTTATCCGTTCGTTCGAACGATATTTTCAAAGTACTTGTCTGATAGGAGACACAAAAATGATGGTCGATGTGATTACTGGGGAGGAGAGCTGATCCTTATTCGCAGTATGAATAACTGGTGCAATGCATAAGATGCTAGTCTACAACCATGTTTCAGTTGCCTGATACCCAGCATCCCCCTGACGAGTCCAGATGTCAATCCTTTAAGGGGAAAAGAAACGAAATCCATGCAGAAACCGTGCATATATTCGTGTAGTAGGTAGTAATCCACACCTATTGTGTGTGGGCTAGTGATACTACTTGGCTACTCAAAGCCTGATATGCAGAACGGTGTTCAAAGCTGATTCGCTGCCTAGGCTAGTGAATTTATGTATGGAAATCCGAGGTAGTTAAAATCGTTTGTCATAATACTTTTTGAGATAAGAGAGAAAGTTTCTCGTAACAACTATTGGAAAACTAATTCAAACAACATCGCGTTTAAGATTCTTGAGTGGAAAGTCATCTTACAACTAGCGGAAGGTTGAAGATAAGAAACCTGAGGTAATCGGTTAGTCCTCAAAACTAAACAAGAATAAACTTTTAAAATACTTCAATGAGCAAAGAGCATCCCGTTCAATAACTTCTTCCCCAGATTTTGTGGTTATACGTTAATATTTTTTATTAAAGAACAAATATGTTAACAACACCGAGTTTTATGAGTCTGTTGGTGTTATAATACAGTATGGAGATTCTCTTCAGAAAAGACTTATTTGAAAGCAATCTCAGAATCAAATATCACTGGAATTCAATTCAAAATAATTAACTGTGTTGATGATTATCTTATGTGACGCCTTGAGAGTCATTATTTCTCAATGAATGATTATGAACGACATTGAATTTCACTGCATATTGAGAGGAGCGACTACAGGGTCTTGATCACATGTCTTTGTAACGTTGCTCGCTTTTGGTGGAATCACTGTTTGAGCGGTGCTGAGGTCAGGCGAAGGGTACTAGCCAAGGCAAGCAAACCGATTAATTAAGTTGTAAACCTTCATTGGCTGAGGTGGCTTGGACAAGTACTGCACATGCCGAGTCACCGCCTGCCTCGGTGGTCCATGCTACAAGAAGTTGGATTAGGTTGGAAGAGGGTTCAGTGCAACCAGACGAAGACATGGAATCAGTTAATGAAGTCTGTGGTTGTCGGAGCTGTGTTAGGAGATGTAGACTCCCTAATTGGGGTCGTGAAAGTCGGTCACAATGACACATGTATTCAATCCTTGGCATCTGTAGCTTGAATATTCACACAAACCATTGTCTTCAGATTGTTTACTCTCGCACAAATTTTTCCACTTTGATATCAATCTTTTTCTGTTTACTTGTTTTTTGTGTACTACTGTGAAGTGTGGCAACTTGAGACGGTACACCTGTGTGCGAGGTCCCACGTTAGTTTTGCCAGTCAGTCAGGTTAGAATAAATTCTATTCTCTTCGATTATAAAATTCAAATGCATAAAGTGTACCATAGACAGGGGGAGAAAATGTAAAGTATAAATGCAGTGTGATAAACTATGGTAGTCTAACAGCAACGGACCAAGTACAAAAGCTCGGAGTCAAAAATGTCAAGAGATCTGGTAAAATTTAAAATTACAGGGAATATGTGCATTCGTTTTTGTTTCCTTACGTGCGTATAAAAGTAGGATTCGATGGATAATTTGAATAGTCTAACTTCTGTGGTATATATATAAAGGTTAAACAGTTGGCTGAGCGAATGTGATGAGACTATTTCAGGTTACAGAAATGAGGATATATGCCCATTGTGGTCGTAAAAAATCAAGAATTTATTAGTTTCAAAGTAGACAAGGATGATTATAGGGGCAACAGTTACTTGTTCTGAAAACCACGCAGGTTGTTTATTCTAAACTGCTACTACTTTTGCATTTTGGATAATCCGGAGCTCGGTGCCTTTTGGCAACTTGGTAGAAACTTGGCAAGTAGTCAAAAACAGGTTTCAGTGTACATAGTTAATTATTTTGAATTGAATTCCAGTGATATTTGATTCTGAGATTGCTTTCAAACAAGTCTTTTCTGAAGAGAATCCCCATACTGTATAATAATACCAACAGACTCATAAAACTCGGTGTTGTTAACATATTTATTCTTTAATAAAAAATATTAACGTATAACCACAAAATCTGGGGAAAAAGTTATTGAAGGGAATGTTCTTTGCTCATCGGGATATCTTTTGAATTGTAATGGAACTTCGCAAAGAGGTTATATTAATAGGTTTTATCCTTCAACAGGTTCTGGAGCACAAGCATACACACCGGCATCCGGCAATCTCCGTATTTCTTGACCGTAAGGTAGCATTCGACTTCGTTGACTCGGAAATGATGTAGTAGTTTGACTGAGAAGTATCTACCTAGCAGGTATATTATGCTATTTACCATCCTATATTCAAACTAATAGCTGTGTAAGGCCTTTCGGAGAGTTTTCATCTAAGGTTATAAAGACTAGTGGTGTCCCGGAATGTGATTGTCACCATTCTTACTTAACTTTACTATTGATGTAACTAGACATACTTCCAGCCTCAGTGATTGCAACTCAACTGCGTACATATATTGATAAACTAGGCTGTCAGTCACATTCATGGTGTAGATTATGATTCTACCCAGTTGCTGAGACAAGTCGGTGGAGCTGGGGTTAAACTCGAAATCCATCATACTAAAGTCAAGTCCTTAAGCCAAAGGGTCAATCCTTTATTTTCTCCCAAGGATTGACATACTGCTCAAAGAGTATTTAGTTATCTTCCAAAACGTACAAAAAGTTAGTTCTGCTGAACAAAAGCACTGAAAAATGAAAATTTTTCTCGATGCCTTCAACAAAGGTCTGAATACATTAGGCATGCTTTTCATACTTGTTAAATATAAGACAGTGCTTCAGGAGTTGTCCATATCAAACAGTCTGAAGATGAGGAGTTAAGCAATGGGTAGGGTTGACTACCTCATTTAAGGAATCGTATAGACTTTTAACAGGCTGGCTGCTGACTAAATTTCAGCTTGAATGAAAAGGATTCGTCTGACATTCACAACAATACTTTCCGTGACATCGACAAGATATACAACCACCTTTCAAAAAATATTCCTTGTGCAGCAGTCGTCTCTTTCCTCCTGTATGACTATCAAACATAAAGGCTACGGGTTTCTGATCACAATGTTTTTTTTGGCATTCCTCGTATGTGCTTGTCACATGGATTGTATAGTGAAGTCGCGGAGTGAGTGGCGTTGAGGTTAGGCAGGAAAGGCAATTCACTCGATGAAATTGTGACCCTTGATTGACCTAGGTGGCTTGGATATGCTGCGCATGTTCAACTACTGTCTGTCGTGACCCGTCTTCAACCTCAGTACGACTATCGAAAATTCCTTTTTAGACATGAACTGAATGAGAAATATTTCTTTCCAATTAAATTATTACCAACAGCTGTATACTGGCATATAGGTTTTAATGCTGTTATCAGTGACATTTAAGTGGTGGTTTAATTAAATCAGAAAAGTGCGTAGGATGAACAGACCAAAACAGCATCATCTATATTTTCTGACTTCATTTACACTGTGTAGGGAAGTTTAGGTTACGTACTTATGTTCCTTACGACTCGGTGATGGCTCAAATTCGGTAACAATAACAGTTTTATACATTAGTGTCAGAGTAGAACTTAAGCACTGTGGGGGTGTATAATCTTATGTTAATTTGTTTGTTGAACATTTCATGCAGTGTTATGATCATAATTTGATGTTTAGACATCAAAAGTTAAATTATTCGATCAATATAATTAATGTAAAGTTGTTTTAATAAGTGTATATCATTTCCTCTCATATTTCTAGGTTTCACACCTAAAACTATTTCCAGGCTTAATGTATCAACATTTTTCAACACCTACGTATCCCGGTGTAAATTCTTCTTCACTTCCTAGTACACATATTACTCAGACTGCCAATTCACTTAAAGCCGATATTGCATCAAGTCAAGAAAATATTAGTGCTGTGGGTGTTTTGGATGATGATGATGGGGTTGGTGGCGGTGGTACGTCGGATGGAGAATTGTGGGCACCATTAGCTGTTCGTGGTTATCTTAGCAAATGGACGAATTTATTACATGGTTGGCAAGAACGCTATTTTATCCTCTCTGATGGCCGTTTAACGTATTATCGCAATGCAGATGACCTGGATTTAGGCTCAAGAGGTTCTGTTCGTATTAAAAATGCTTATGTAAAATCTCATGAGTACGATGAATGTCGTTTTGAGGTAATTCTTTAAATTGAATCTGAATGTAACATACTGACAAATGTTTATTTGTCATCATTTGTTGTTAACTTGGTGGTTAATGATTTCCCTTTTGAAATCATGGTTGTTCGACTTCGAGGGATGCCGGAGCTTAGTCAGCTGGCAAGTCATAAGTAAGACGAAACACCACCAATTCTACTGCCTATTACTTAATTTTGCAACACAACCCAGCAACTACCTAAATGTTTGTGCAGCAGACTGTTATTTGATCGCCCAGACACCGATAGATTGATTTTGGCTTTAACCAGTAACCCATTGGTTGTCTGCTTAGACTACTTACTACCTATCACTAAACTGGCAGTAGATGCAGATCAGTTTTAAGTCATCATCTGGCACGTGCAAACCACAAGCCAAACATACTCAGATTTCTGCTTGGCATGTTCAGAAGACTGCATTTTGTCAGCATCTTCATCTAGCAGGAAAATGTTATCTGCATACTCATCTGTCTAGGGACTAGACCAATTCCTATGAAGTCGGATTATATCCATTATAGTAAAGTTAAACGGAAAAGTTGACGGTCGGTATCCTTGGTGGATACTATTTGTTGTCGTCAGTTCAGATGACAACTACCCATAAGCCTTTACACGGTTATGTGAGTTCAAGTAGAGAGCTTCAGTTAGCGTTATCTAGTTGCTCGATGCTTCCTTCGCACAGACAGCCAGAACACCTCAACAGGGTCAAATTTCACCTTGAGGTCAAGAGATAAGGTGTGTCGGCTCCCTGTAGGTGTGCCTTTGTTGTAAAACTTATCAAATGGTGAAGATCTGATCGATTCGCCCTCGTACAGGTTTGAAACCTGCCTAGTTTTCCCGAGTTTGTTGTTCCCGTTACTGTATTCATGAATTTTTCTACCTCCTTTCCTTCTGGTGGCAAACCATCAGGTCCTGCTGATTTGCATGTTCCGGTTAGAACCAGCCTTTTCATCTTCGAGAAGAGTTGGAGGACCGACATCTACAAACCATTCAGGTTCACGCTGGATTTTGGGCAACTGAGACGTTATTGAGGACCAGTTAAATTGTGCTTCAAAGTGTTCTGCCCAACATCCTAGCACTCTGTCCTGGGAGGTTAGCAGCATTTCACATTTTTCGGTAGTGGTTTCACTCACCATTGTCTTCTTGGCAGTATCCTAATAAGCCTAAAAATTTCCCGAGTGTTACCCAACGCTGATGCCTTCTCCACCTCTCTCGCTTTCGCCACCCACCACCGCTGGAGATCGATGTGAAGACTCTTGTTCAACTTACGTTTGAGTTGATTTCGCTCTTCGTCTGTCTGTCTGTACAACAGACTTAATATCACGCCAGGTTTCCTCAGAATGAGCATCACTGTCCCGTTCAGATGAATGCTTCGCTATCTCCGCCCTAAATACGCACTTGGGATCGGCATATTCCAATTGACCATGGACAGACTTTACCATTATCTGTTTCCTGCGACCAGTAATGCACAGACATATACGAGTCTGTCCTAACCCTTGATCGAAATCCAAACAGGTACTCCAAAATGAACGGCAATCCTCCACCTATCCTCTTTTTAGATAGCTTATAGAAATATAATCTGTCTTTGTTCATCATGGGTTTGAAGTTGGTGGACGCCATGTCTCTCCGTATGCATCAAGCTAGTGCTGGCCAGATACAAGTGGTTGTTGAAGCAAAATTGTAACAGACGATCATCGTTGACGGTTCGTTGGGATGGGCTTCTGTAAATACCTCCATGATGCCTTTCCGATCGACTCAGCTCCCTTACTTGAGCGTTGAAGTCATCTGTTATTATGTCTACATCTGAACGTTTTAAAGTCTGTAGCAAAGTTGACAGGTTTTCATCGCATTTTTCCTTTACATCATCCGAACTACAGTCGGTGGGTGCCTAGGTGGAGATTACGACTAGGTATTCGTTCGTCTCACGATCTTTCCCAGTTCTTGCGGATCCGTTCAGTCGGATAGCATATAAACGGCTGTTGACTGGTATCCTGCTACAACACTACAGTTTATGGCTATGCCTACACCGGCGAGTCCATGAAAGCTTGCCATTGAATCTTCGGATTCTCGTATAGTGAATTTCGGGGATTCATCACAATGATCAAGTGACGTCAATTTAATTATCACACTTGTGTTTCGTGTACGTGTCTCCGAAACAGCATACATCCATAGCTCATGATTTCAGAGTTCTGATGAGCGATGCCTGCTGTCTCATTCGGCACATGGTTCAAACGTTGAAAGTTCCAATATGAAAGCGACCTGAGACTCTTAGAAGACTAGTAATAGTGTTTTGTTGTTAGTGATTGCATAGTCAGAAGTTGAGGAAGTTGCAAGAGACTTGATATTGGTACCAAGAAGCGTAGGCCAAGAGGGCGACAAAGTTTAATGTTTTATTCGTTATTTATGCTCCTGGTTGCGTGCTGGAAGTTGAAACTTCCCAGCTACCCACATCGTCAAAGTTATCTCTAAAAGGTACCTGAAGCATTAAAAGATTGCTTGCCCTCAGAGCTCATCGAACATCTGCTTGGGCTCCTACACAGCCTTCTGAGGATTGTTGTTTTGAGATTTTTTCTTATGCCGGATATGAAAGACCCACACTACCAACACCGGAAGACAACAGTGTAGAGAGCAGTGTACTATTTTGCTGGTCAATTCTTTCTAGCCCTCTTACTATAAAGAAGAAAGTATCAACATGGCACTGCTAGTTAGTCAAGAGAAACACCTAACTGCTGTCACACCCGTCCAGCAGTACAGCAGTACAACTTCGTCTTCAGATATTCATCATATTGAGCAGTTTATACTATATGGGCAACTGCTTTTTGTCTTACCATTATCCAACTAACCTTTCTGGTATGGTAAAAGAACAAGGGTTCCAGCCAGTGTAGCTCGTTTGATCATTGTAATATGCAAGCTCAAAAACCACTTCAGTGTAGCAGCTATAGGTTGGGTTCGGTGTTGTATGATGAGGGTCGATCGATGGGAACCCCTGGATTTATATTTCGTGCTTATTGACATCTGTCAACAAGGGGTATGTGCAACCATGAGGAATTGAGTGTTCGTTTCGTGATTTATCACTCAGTGACGAATCACTGATCTATTTAAGTTAAGAGTGATGCCCTGTAGGACCAGGTTATGTTCATAAACTGGTCACTAATGGATAACTGATATGTATCTGTTTAGTGGATGGTGCTTAAAACTGATTGAAGTTTTCCGATCAAGTTTTATAATGTCGTCACTAACGACTAGACACATCTGTTGCTAGTGATCAATTCATGAACTTGCAACATATTGTGTCAATCCGTCTTACATTATTATGATTCACAACGATGTGTATGAGAAGATGGCGTTCACATTTTTTTATGATTCTAACGTGGTAAGGAGGGTATATAGGATTAGTAAAACCGCTGCGAATGCATTAAAAGTCACTTGTGTCAGTTATAATACTTAACCTTTGATTCCGTTTTCCAAATTACTCAAGGTGGGGGAAGGACACACTTATTACTGCTAAAGGATTTGATTTTTTTAATGTTCAGACTTTCACTCATTTTCCAATCACAGGCTTAAATACTACCACACATTTGTTGTAGGAGATAATAATTTTAAGTACTTTATTCTGTGACTTAATCGTGTAACTAGTTTGCAGTTGCTAATGCTTTGTTATTCTAATGTAAGGGATACCTTATAATGTTGTGTTTTGAGTGTACAACTTGTTTTGCATGGAAATAAGGAAAATTTATTGAAACATTACTTTTTCAACCGTATTCACTCTTGATAACTTTTGTTCTACGAAACCATGTTGGAGCTGAAATATTAAAGTCTACCTAATTTTCTTCTTCATCATTCCACTCATTACATGTGGATGTTTCAGACTACTACACTTCACACTTGATGATTGAGGAGTTAAGGTGAAACTTAAAAGAAAAACTGGATTAAGTAAGGCGGTGTTAGCGAGGGTATGAAAATCAGGTATGATCCACTCTGATTGGACTCAATCGCTGATTGTCTCAATCTTCAGCAAGGACGAAGAATTTTCTGGTAACCACAAAGAATCAATCTAACGAACATTGTCTGTAAAACTCTAGATTCTGTAGTCATTAGATACGTAAAGAAAGCTATGGGACGGCGATTTATCGAAAACCGGGTAGGATCTGAACCTGGTCTCGGGTGTACCGACTGGATATTCATCCTGTACAAGTTCTTGGGAAACAGACACACCTACCTGTGCTTAATATTCGAACACCCGTGGACAAGCTAGAGCGTATGATGAGGTGACGGGTGAGTTGTATACATCAAGTGGTGTTGATCAGAGGTGTCCGCTCTATATTAGATTTGTGTTTATTTGATATGTAGCCCACACTGACATTGATATGATTATGAGTAACAATTTATCCTCGAAACGCGTCATCAAGTAAATAATACTGTATCACTGTGAGTTATATATCAAACAAACAAATCTATTATGGAATTATATTCCACCGTAGTGCTCAAGTTCTACACTTATATTAATGGTGTACGCTCTCTTTCTTTATTAAATATCCTAATAGGCATGCTGATGATAGTCTCCCTTTTCTTGTCTGAATTCACGGAGGTTGACCTCTTGATGGGAAACTCCATAGTAATACGCAGATGACATAGCCCTGTTAGGTGAAGATTGTGACAAGACGCGGAATCTTCTAAACACATTAAGCAAGAATTTGAGGATGTTTGGGTTACGCTTTTCAGTACCAAAATGTGAATTGCTTCTCCAGAACTGGTGTGTGTTGGTGGCTTGTCTAGCGAATCGAAAATCGGAATGCTTTCAGCAACCTTGTGCACAGTCGTGCAGTAGACAGTGAGCCATACATGTTGTATGAGAGCTAATCATGCTGCCTGGCTGCACAAACCTCGGTAGGTGGAGCAGGATTCGAACTGGTGACCCTTGGTTTTAAGTCGTCTCCCTAAACCAATGAGCCACAGCAATGACAAGTCAGTGGTAAACGAAGTCCCTACATGAATGCAAAAGGTTGAATTGGCCTTCAGCAGCATTCTTCATCAGTTGCACCAGCATGATATGCGATTGCCTTTTAAAAGGTCTAGTGCACTGCACCACAGTTTACTTTATTTTACCATATGGCTGTGGGATATGACCATTCTAAGTAGATGACACGATTAGACTTCAGATGTTCGACCACCGTTGCCTTCTAGCTTAGACCATGTGTTGTGGAACCTGTCGAGTTTTGCACTGAAATGTATCGGTTCAGATTGTAGCACTCCACCATAGCACGTAAACAGGAAGCGAACAGAAACAAATTGGCATTGAAATACGTAGAAGGGTAGGAAGAATAGTTTAACGAAGGTTAATAAAACTTCAAGAATTTAAAGAATGACAAGAATTGAATATACATGTGTCATCGTAATGGCCTTTTCTCTGAATCTTCAGCCATTGATTCATAACATCTTGTTTATCTCAGTCAAACTGAATAAATTGATAGTTTTTGTGGGATATTTTCTGAAATTAGATTACTTAAATCCTTGAGCATTTATATTGTGTATTGGGTAGATTGAGATTAACAATAAAATGAGAAGGAAGCAGATATGAAGAGTTAAAGCAGAGATATGTTTGTCACCGTGTCCTACAAGATCCAGTGTTAAGGATAATATCAATCAGTTATTCAGTTTATAAAATATTTCACCGTTTTTTTTCACATGAAATGCTCTTTTTTAAACTATAACACAAAGAGATAGTCATCCCCATTTCATAATGTAAACTAATTACTTATGTCTATTTTACTGTAAACTTTGGCATGGTGGACCGACACACTTCTGCAATCCCATGTCTGCCTGTGTCTGTGTTGTGATAAATATTTTGAGCATATCATGCCAAGGTGAGACTTCGATAAGTACATTCATTCTAATGTCAAAGCTTTCATCACTAGTCTTATGTGTATACTGAGTGCATTGAAACATTTTACACTGTTAACTTTTATCTGAAGTGCATATTTTATTCCTTATTTCCTCGTAGGTGCGTGTTGGAGATGTTATCTGGTATCTGCGTGGATTAAATCAAGAAGAGCGTTATAACTGGATGTCTGCAATCGAACGACATCGTATTGCTGAATCCGGTTATGGATCGGAAAAAACTATTCATCGTCATAGCTCCTTATTATCGCTTAATTCAACACACAGTCCTAGTTTACATTCAGCTTCTAGTTTTAAACGAAATCATGGACTAAAAGAGAAATTGGCTGAAATGGAGACTTTTAAGTAAGTTAGAGTTTTTGTGTACTCTTGCTACTTACTACTAGGATTATGTACTACATGAAATCAGTGTATCTAAGGGTTCGGAAGAAGTATTACACAGGTAAACAGAGCCATCTAGAATCCTTTGCAGAGCTATCAGTTCAAGATTACCACCCTTGTTACCAGTACAAGAAAGACGTATGCGATATAAGAGAACAGAGAACAAACAATACACTGTACAAAGCAACATGACAGAATTATAATGATATATCATGAGTAGTGGTTAAAAAGTTGGGAATAATCGTGTAAAGTTTTATATCCAATGGACCGTTCGTTGAAGTGCATGGCGAATTTCAGACCCCTCGAAGGTTGTGTACTTTCGCTCGTTTACCTTTCTAAACGGCACAAAAATTCATAGCATGATTACTAATAACATCATTGTCTATCTGTACTGGTCAAAATCTTCATCTTCTGTATCGTAATATTACCAGGTTTCTTCCCTCTAGGCATTCTCTATGTGTCTTTTTACGAAACTATTAGAGTAGCCTATTTCAACCAATGAATTACGGATATAATGTAACTCCTTCTGTGCTAGATCATCCATCCGAACATATTTATTTTTCGCGCTCTGTTAGTGAGGCATTTAATAAGGTTTACTTTGTACCGAATAGGTACATGACTTTGAAAATGTGTATGCTGACTTATAGATGTGGTCTTCCTGTAAACACATCTGCTGAGTGAACCATCTTCTCTTCTACTTAGCAAGACATCCAAGAAGTGTAGTTTACTGGCATTTTCTTCCTCATAAATGAAAATGAGTGAAGGGTGCACTTCATTAAATTTTCTTAATACTTCGTTTGTATCCACATTCTGATCCAGGATAATGAACGTGTCGTCAATATAACGGTGATACATAGTCATCTCCTTAATGACCTCTTTCAATGCTCCACTATTCAGTTTGGCAAGAAATATATCAGCTGAAATAGGGCCGAGTGGTGAACCTATAGTCATCCCATCACTGTCTATAATGAGGGCTATTGAAGACAAAAAGTACATTCATAGTACATTTAAGAAGCAGTTCCTTGAGGATGTGCACAACAATCCCGATGTTGATTCGCCTTTCCGATATTTGTTGACAGACAAACTCTATCGTCTCCAATAATGGCGCATTAGTGATTAATGATGATATATCAAGCGACATATGTTTTCCGTTTACATTCACACTACCTAGCCTAGAAATAAATTCAAAAACGTCTTTTACACTATGGTTAACTAATTCTTTGTGTAAGGCATCTAAAATCCTTACTAGCCATTCAGCAACTGCGTGGTATCAGGAGTTGGACATGTATAAAACTGGGTGAAGGGGCAGTCAAGTTTTTTGTACTTTAGACAGACCATACAACCGTGGTGTGTTACTCCCTGTAGGTTTGAGTGAGTCGTATGTGGACTCAGAAATTGTCCCACTTTCTTTTAGTTTCTTGAGGATGTTTATTACCTCCTTCGCTGCTTTTCCAGTTGAATCTGGAGAGTCACCAAGTCTTTGGAACTTTGTCTGGTCATTAAGAAGAATAATCATTTTATCAATGTAGTCACTTCTGTTCAACAACACTAAGCCTCCTCCTTTGTCTGGTCTACTTATTATGAGATTTTCATCTTTCCTCAGCTTAGACAAAGCTTCTCTATGTTGTTTTGTAAGTAAACCTTTTGTGAAATAACTGGTGTTTTCGTACGGTTGGCAACTATCAACTAGTGTAGTTTTAAACCTGTTTAGTTCACTGTCAGAAGACGGAAGCAGTCCTGTTGTTTGTGAATACAAGTTTTCAAACTGTACGTCTGTGTCTATTTGTCTAATTTTGTGTCCATAGTCACAGAATTTACGACCCAAAGATGAAACCTTCAGTTGAATCCTATCTAGTTCAATAGTGGAAAGGTTGTGGACATATAGGATAGGGTCAGAAGAAAAATTTCTTTCTGGCTTCGGATTTTCAAGAGACTTGAACAGTTTCAGTCGTCTTATATCTGCTCTGCTTTGTTTAACTTTCTCGACATAACTGAGAAGCATAGACGTTAATCTCTGTGGTAGATCATCAACCGCGAATTTCCTCTGCGAAGAGTTTCTTCCAAGTTCAGTAACGCGTATTTTCAGAGGGTCCAGTTGCTTGAGAGCATATCGTTTCTGTGCTTTATAACTAGGATAAAGTTTGTTATAACGTAAACATTTCCAATATCATTTAAGATATCGTTCATTTTGTATACATTCATTAATGAAATTAACAGACGTTTTCACTTCAGTGAGTCTAACATTGTATTTCAGGTACTCGTTGAGAGCCTTAAATGCAGTAGGATTCACTTGAGACTTAACAGTTTTAAAAATTCCCATCATGTAAATTAAAACAAGACAAACAAGAAAAATATTGTTTCCAATTAGATCCTCTTCAGGCTTTACTCTCATACAAATAGCTTGATGTATATATATATATATATATATATATATATATATATATATATATATATATATATAAAACTAAACCAATCATGTATATTTTTCGGTTGATGTGATAAATGTTTCATTTCTTCCTCACACGATCTCCTCCATGCCACCCACGGCTCGGATGCCCAACTCGTCGCTTCCCATCTGGGTTCCACTCGAGTGCCTGGCCCGGCGCGTGATGTCCCCAGTCGGCCTTCTCAGTGTATTCCCAATCTATCTCCACTTCCTTCTGCATATTTGTAGAGTGATAGGTTCTTGGTTAGTTCGTTACTAGCCAGAGTTTCTTGTTGGTCATTCTTTCTGGCAATCCATCTGAGCTTCAGTAACGAGCCAGAGTAGGCAGTTGTTGATGAGTATCTGTAGTTTGTTGGAAATGCCTTTCGTAAGTTTCTGAACCAAATAGGAACACTAACTTGACATTAATGTTCAAAATCCGGATGTTGTTCTTTATACTGAGTGCAGAAGAGCTTCACATTGGTTTCAGGTTGATGAACGCCTGTCTTGCTGTTATTCCAATCCTGGCTTTGACATCCTCGTCTGTGCCGCGTGTAGTTGAAATACTGCTGCCTATATAGGTGAAAGAGGTTACTTCCTTTAAGTTTCTCCCGTTGATGATGATTGGAGCTTGTTGTTGTTGTTGCTGTTGTTGTTGGTTGGGTATCTTCACCTCTGTCTTCTCTATATTCACTTGAAGTCCCATCTTCCTTCGCTGTCTCTTCTGACAACTTGTTAGTTTTCGCCTGTAGATCTTCAAGTTTGTGGGACACTAGACATAAGTCATCTTTGGCGAAATCCAGATGTTCTAGGTTGTTTTCCACAGTCCAGCCAGCGTATCCCCCTCTTCTCACTCCTCACTGTTTGTTGCATGATCCAGCCGACTGCAATCAGGAATATCATGGGCGATAGCAGACAGCCTTGTTTCACTCCTGTCTTCACTTGAAAAGCATCACTGAGGTTTCCATTGTGAATTACTTGGCATGTAGCATCTTCATATAGTTGTTGAGTCATGTCGATAAAGATTTGTGGCACTGAGACCGTAGTGTTGAAACAGCTGCCTGCCAAATTACTTCTCGTAGTTTTGAATCCAGCGCGTATGTTTTAGTCTTTCTCCAGGATGATGCGGCATAATATTTTGCTTGGTGTGGACAGGATCATGATTCCGCGCCAGTTCTTGCAAACACTCAGGTCGCCCTTCTTCGGGAGTTTGAAAAGGTAGCCCCTCTTCTATTCTGCAGGTACCTTTCCTTCCTTCAAGACCTTCTGCAATAGTGGTGTGAGCATATCTGCTGTTGTCCCTGCGTCTGTTTTCAGTGCTTCTGGCGGGATTCCATATGATCCTGCTGCTTTCTTACATTTCAGGACTTCAACTTTCGTCGGAGGGACTGTGTTAACTTATTGTTCTGTTGCTGCGGCTGGTATTTCTGGACGAAGTGCAAGTTGTGGTCGATTCAAGAGCTTTTTGAAGCGGTCAGTTCACCGTTTCCTTTGTTTCTCCTCTTCTGTAATTAGATTTCCTTCATCATCTTTTATTGGCTTCATCTGTGTTGATCTCTTCCCAGACAGCGAGTAACCTGGTTATTTGATACAATGTTGTCAGGTCACTGTCCCTCCTACCTGCAGCCAGTCTGTTCTGCTTCACTTGCCAGTGTGTCGTGGAAGTATCTTTTGACTTTGTGTGCACTCTTCTTCACTTCTTTGTCCAGTGAAGTGTTTTATACATTGTACTCAGTTCCTCTTCTCGTTGTTCATCCTTGCAGTGGTTTATCTTCTGCTTCACCTTCCTCCTCTCCCTCCTCCATCAGCTTCCATGTGTCCATCAAGATCCATTCCTTGTCTTGCCTCTACTTCTTGCTTCCTAATACGGTTGTGCCCGTTTCTTTCTACATAGCTTTTCAAGAGTTCCAGTGTTCTTCCAGGCCCGATCCTCTAGGGATGTTACTAAGTGTTTCCTATTTTGTCTTGATGGCTGACGTGAAGATTTCCTTTGTAGTTTCGTTCTGTTTCTGTTCTTCAGTTTCTGTTCTGTTATTGATTGCACAGATTTTCCTAGTGACCGTTTCTTTCTCTGACCTCTGATTTTGCAGTTATTTATAATTTTTCTTATTGCCTCATAGATTAGGTCTCTGTCTATACACCTGCTGGTTACCGAATGATCTAAATGTGGAGCTTTTATGAGTTTTCTGGTGTTTACTTTTCGATTGTCCACAATCTACATAATGATCGTAGGATTTTTGCGAATCCACTCGCCTTCCTAACTCGCCTATGCATTAGTATGTTTCCTGTATGGTTAAGGGAGACATCAGTTGCTTTCGTTGTAATACAAAGTTCCATGTTATCGATTCAATTCAGGGAGGAATCTGAGAATCTCGGTAGGGGATAATAGCTCTCATGTTTACCAAATTAAGAAGCTGTATTGAATCCTTGTTAGATACGGTGGTCAGTTTCATATGTTCGAATACTGTTATTAATTTTTCCATTGAAACCCTGGCTGTTTCTTTCTTTAAAGAAAACGTTAGCACGGTATACAAATGTA